GTGGCTCTGATGTGATATGACAAATGTGGCCCAATAATCTTAAGACATATGTGGGCCACCTTTGGCAAATATTCGGCACAGTAAGTTTTGGCTAATGTGGCTTTGAGCCTAAAGTGGCCCAGAAGTGATATGACAAATGTGGCCCAATTATCTTAAGACATATGTGGGCCACTTTTGGCAAATATTTGGCACAGTTAGCTCTGGCTAATGTGGCTGTGAGCCTAAAGTGGCCCAGACATGATATGACAAATGTGGCCCAATCATCTAAAGACATGTGGGCCACTTTTGACAAATATTTGGCACAGCAAACTCTGGCTATGTGGGTTAGATGTAAGTATCTGATGTTTGCTGGTTCTGGGCCAAAATAAAAGCAAACTGTGGACCAGAATACTGTAAGTTCTGGTCCATTTGGTTGAATTCTGGCTGATATGTGGTATTGCTATGGCTTAATTGTGAATGAATTTTGCTATCTGGATATAACTTTATATATGATAAATAATAAATAAAATAAATAACAGTACAGATATGTTTACATAGTTTTTTTTTTTTTTTTTGGAAATCAACTAAAATATTAAGAATTGTTATAAAAATTGCACAGACATGGTACGTTACATTTAGAATATTAGTTGCTTGGCAGCTTGAAATCAGTGATAGTTAGCTTGCTCTATTTAGAACCTAAAGTTGAGATTATCTGATTGCCTATCCTTAAACTTATCCGTTTTGCTGGTAAGTAACATTATCTGCTTTTAGTGTTTTAACTGTTTTCATGGATCAGTGTTATCATGGCCAGTTTTGATAACTTTTTTTAAGGCTAAAGAAAAGCTTTAAAAATATAGTGTTTTTTTATTTACTCGCTCTCATCTCGTTCCTAATCTGTATGACTTTCCTTTATCTGAGAAACAGAACAGAGAACAAAAAGAAAAATGCCTCTGTCATCCATACAAAGAAAGTTAATGGAGTCCAATGTTGTTTTGGAACCGACTTTCATTGAATGAACTAAAACCAGACTCATCTATGTTTTTGTTTTCTTTTCTTACCAGAGTCTAGTGTATTATTTTCCTATCCATGATATCCATTGTAAAGCTTTTCTGTCCTCCCAGAGAAACATGGAGTGGTAAAGCGAGGGCTCAATTAGCCGAATAGCAGTTTTCGGTGTGTCACTGCTGCTGATCAATAAACAAGACATGTCTGTAATGAGCCGGCCACCTCTCGAAACTCACAGTACTCCTCCAGTGCATGCTGGGATAGCAAAATTTCTTGTGGCAGTAGAAAGCAGATGACTTTTCATCCTCGCTTCAGTAGAGCTGTATGAGCTTCAGCCTTGAGAATGTCCTGGTAAACGTCAAGGCTAAGTTAAGCCACGGATTAGATGATTACACCCTCCTGCTTCATTACGGATACCACTGGCATCAAAAGCACTGTTTATTCTGTTCGAAAAAACACCCACTCTTTCAGTAAAAGACTTTTGCTTTGAGCATCCTGAACACAGCTTATCTAGTACCAAGCAGATTTCTGCCATTGTGTTTGTGTGTGTGTGGAAGGCAATGTTTGAGGTCATGCTTAGATCAATTGGAGCTTTTTTTATATTATCTGCACACACACACAAAAAGAAACCACCTGTGCTGTCAGCCACATCCTGCATTCTGGTCTGCTTTTCACCCCTGGCTGTGCTACTTGGTCTGCAAAATTAAGTCTTTGATGAGAGAGGTTAAGGGCTTAAATTTGTCACTTTAAAGATGCAAATTCCTATTTTAAAGACATTATCTAAATGACCAGTTGTTCAATTCAATTTATTTTATTTCTATTGAACTTTTACAATGTAGATTGTGTCAAAACAGCTTAGCATAGAAGTCCAGTTTTTAGAGATGAAGTTTAGTTCAGTGTGGTTTAATTTTCACTACTAAAAATCTGAACACTGAAGAGCAAATCCATCGGTGCGCTGCTCCACAAGTCCTAAAACAAGCAAGCCAGTGGCGACAGTGGTGAAGAACAAACTTCACCAATTTACAAAAGTGAAGGAAAAAAAACCTTGAGAGAAACAAGGCTCAGTTGGGCATGAGTTGTCTTCTTTCACTGAAATTAGAATATGAATTGATTGAGCAATTGTAATGTCCAAAAGAAGAAAGTTTATAATTATAATAACCCACTTTTAATTCAGCTTGATTTTTAGATTTGAGCTACATACAAAATTGTTATAATTGAAACACTTTGCCAACATGTTAAAGCTCACTTAAAATGACTTAAATCAACTAAAATTATTGGTTGTTTCAAAGTAAAATTAGCAAAAAAAAAAAAAAAAATGCATGAATGAATCAACATAAAATGTTGACTATTGAAGAACCATTTCAGTTGTGAATTGCTTAACTTAACACAAAATAGTGCAAAAATACTTGTCTTACTTTTTTTTTTTGTCTTGTTTCTAGTCCAAATATCTACAAATTCCTAAATCAAGAATCATTTTCTAGACAAGCAAAACATATTGTCTTGTTTTAAGAAATAATATGCCAAAATGAAGTGAGTTTTTCCACAAATCAAGCAAAATAATCTGCCAATAGGGTTAGCAAAATAATCTTGTTTTTCGATTTGTGATAAGATTATTTTGCTTACCCCATTGGCAGATTATTTAGCTTGATTTAAGGAAAAACTCACTTCATTTTGGCTTATTATTTCTTAAAATAAGACAACATGTTTTGCTTGTCTAGAAAATGCTTCTTGATTTAAGAACATTTAGATATTTGGACTACAAACAAGACAAAAAAATCCAAGTAAGAAAAGCATTTTTTGCAGTGTGAACACTAACTTAAACACATTCAATAAACTGTATTCATTTTTGTAAAATCTCTTGGTTTGATTCTTTTAGTAAAGAATGCACACTTTACCAGACACACACATCAATCTCACCCACACGTTCAAAATGCCCTTCTCAATTGTGTTTCAGTAAAATGTGGTATATATAAGTAATATCACATGAGTAGCAGTTCGATATGGCTGTATGTTGGCACTGGTAGGAGGCATGCATCGGCACAAGAAGTCCCACCATTCACTATATACAGTCATATCGCACACGCTACAAGCATGGTATTGCATTTATGCAACTGTTCAACGACATAATCTTGTGTATAAAAAATGTCACTTTAGAGCTAGTGTTTGAATGATCAGCGTAATATCCAAAGTGATGACAAAACAAGTGATTTCGCTGACTATTTAAGATTATGAAATGGAATTTATGAATTGCCATCAGTCTACAGAGATTTCCCAGCACTTCTCTGTTGCTATCGGAGATCACAATAATTATCCCCTAAAAAAGCCAAAGCAAAGCAAACACTGCAAGATTACTGTTGTGTTGCAATAAGAAAAAAAAAAGTTAAACACATGCAGGCATTTCTTATTTCTTTCTTTTTACTGATTTAGTCTCCAGTAACGAAAACAAGAGACGTCTTAGAAACAAACAGATGGCCAACCAAAAAGTAACTCAGGCTTATAAAAGAGTGGCCAACACAAAATACACACATTCCTGATATGTGAGTCCCATCTTACACTCAGTACAATACAATTACTATGGTATAAATACAGCACTACAACATACAAAATAGAGATCGACTTAGAAAGTCACTTACCAATTTAATAATGATATGACAGCAGTAGTTAGAAATTACGCTCTTTTTCTCTTCTACAAGGTTATTATGTGGTCTCTATCGCCATCTTGTGGATGTACAATGTCAACCGTCTTTGCTGTGCTCAAAGACAGGCTAATGGCCGCCGATTCGCTGTCTCTCAGAAATTATAAATATTTAAAATAGACACTATCCTTATAAATAAACAGCAATGTTGCAATCTAAACAACTACACACTTGCCTAAAAAGCCTCAAAAGTACTTTATGCTGTCCAACAGCAGCAATATTTGTCAAACTGTAGTGTCCTCTGCTTGTTGCTGTATGTGGGCAGAGTAATACACAAGAGTGAAGAGGCTGGATGAGTGCTATTTTATATTTGCAGAATATCGCACAGCTATCAGCCAATCAGATTCAAGAACCAGACAGAACTGTTATATAAATGCCAATAGTAACAATTATATAATAATTAATATATATTAACAATAGAGAAAGGAAGGATAACATCATATTTGCTGAACAGTTTTATTTAACATAATAAAGTAATCCTGGTCATTATAAATATCACACCAGCTTCCTATTTTTCTTCATCCATTTTCAGAATCCTTCAGTATTTAATAAAACTCGTGTGACTCAGTGCACTCTTTCCCCTGTCTGGGTTCGTCTCATTTCTTACTGATGAACAAAGCTAATGCCTTTAGATAAGGATGATTAACCTAGAGTAAAAACGGCATGGTATCTTCGTGTATGGTATATGGCTCTTGGGGTGAGCCTGGTGCATGGGTGCTCATTTTGTAAAGTGACTAATGGCACATGGAAATGTTGGGATTACATCAGAATAGTCTCCAAGATGTCTGTCTACTGCTCTTGCATGTGACCTCACATATTTCTTGCCTTTAAGTGCTGTAAAACTGCACGAGACACTGAATTGTCAGAGAAAAGAATGACAATCCGGGCCGACTGAGAGATGATCCAGCCGCTTTTAGCCTAATGATTCGCTGAGGACTAAGGCTATTGATCATTTTGGCATGAAGCAAATGCACTGGAAATAATGAATGACAGCAGGTGTTCATATTTTTGTAATTGATTGCCCCATAATTGGACAAATTATTGAGCTCACTGATGAAATACAAGATTGAGGGTGACGTTTTTTTGTAGAAAGTGACTGCTTCACGGGGAACAAAGAGTTCTTTTTGAATGTGAAGCGCAGGTGCGGCACTTCTCGATCGATATAGCCCAGCGTGGTAATTTCTAAGTACCAAAGTCAGTCATGTCAGTGTCTACACACTTTTGAAGTTATTATGCTCGCTCTTATCTGGTCAATGGATAATTGCTGTTGTTTTCCCATCTGGCTCATAGTCTTTTTTTCTGTCTTCTCTAATCTTGCAGATCTCTCTGAGGGCGTTTGGCATCATGGACAGCAAACTGGATCAATGAGCCAAGGTTCCGTCTCATCCTGAGCTGACGGTTCTGCAAACATAAGAGAATATCGGCGAGTCAACAAAACGAGGCTGTCGATCCTAAATTTACAAGAAACCTCGCAAAAATAAGGCTTTGCTATCTTCAGCCTCACTCTTTTCTGCTGTTAACAGCCATGATATCAAAATTTTTAGGTAACTGTTCATCGCTGATCCTGCTGTTCCCTCTTCTTCAACTGCTGCGGATGGACATGCTCAACGCTGCCCCCTCTGGTCCGGAGACTGACAGCTGCTCCACATTAGTCCAGAGCCGCTTCTTTGGATTCTTCCTCTCGTCTTCTGCATTTCCCAGCATGCCCTGCACCTGGACCCTACAGAACCCTGATCCACGGCGCTACACCATCTTCATCAAAGTCACAAAACCAACTAGAGACTGCATTGCCCGGCAGCACCGGACCTTCCAGTTTGACTCCTTCTTAGAGACGACTCGGACCTTTCTCGGAATGGAGAGCTTTGATGAAGTGGTGAAGCTGTGCGATGCCTCTACCCATGTTGCCTTCTTGGAAGCTGGGAAACAATTCCTGCAGATCCGGAAAGGGCTGCCTAGAGCAGGCGCTGGGTCTAGAAATGGGGATGGGGAATTTAAAGTGGAGTATCTTGTGGTTGGGAAGCGTAACCCCAGCATGGCTGCGTGTCAAATGCTTTGCCAGTGGTTGGAGGACTGCCTGACCTACAGTTCTTCCACCCGACCCTGTGGCATCATGCAGACCCCATGCCAATGCTGGGACCAGCCTCCACTAGACAAAGAATCCAATGGATGCTATCGAGATGGGGTCTTTCTGGAAAACTGCATCCCTGTTGTGAAAGAAGGAGCGTCTGAAACTGACAATAGCGGTAAGACAGTTTTGTCTAGTTATAATTCAGCATGGTTTGATTGTTATTCAATTGTTATTCCACCACTGTAAGGTTGGTAGCTTGTCATATTTGTTAGCAAATAAACAAAAGAATCAAAGCTGAAGATACACAACAAGAGTTCAGAGAGAACTGATGCAGGTTAAAAAAAAAGAGAAGGGAGGTAAAAGGAGTTTTAGGTTTCAGCTGATGTGTCCTAGCTGGGTGACCTTGGCTTCTTGGCGCCATGTGTGATCCTGTGAGGGTTCAGATAGGGATATTGGATCGGCCCGTGGGAGAGTTGATGCGGCAGACATGCTCTGGGAGTGTCACAGGATAGTGGTGGTGCTGCTCTTGGCGATTGATTATTAGGAAAAAAATGGGGCCAGTTACTGAGTTCAGTGCTATGATGTGATCTCTTTTCCAAGACTGAATGTGGCACAGAAACTCAAGCCCTGGGAGAGGCTGTAGCCACTGAGCTGGAAGATCACTCAGCCACTGCACTGTGTGACCTTTTAGTGGACTTTATGCTCTTTTTTTCTTTTTATGTCTTTCCTGTTTGGTAAAAACAAAATAAAATTTCAGAAGTCTACAGCTCAGAGTGTTCAAAACTGACTGAAAAAGAAAAAAAAACTAAAAACTAAAAGCATTCACTGAAAACAAATGCATCTGTTAAAGTAACACTGTGCATATTTGTTTTTAAAATAGGTTCAGTTTACAACTTTCTTAGAGTTTAGCAGTTTTGTTTCATCATTTGTTTAATGCAGCTGATCTCTGGGTCAGACAAGATCCCTTTTAGCATAGGTTACCAACGATCATTTAATTGGATTAGACCATTAGCTAAAAAGAGTTAAAATACCAGAGTTAAATAACTTTTCATCAATAAGCTTGACTCCTCTGTAGTTACATTGTCTACTAAGACAGAAGGAGAATGAAAAGTTGCTATTTTCTAAGGATTTATGACTAGGAAATGTTCTTATTCCAGTGTAAAAATCAATGAATTTTGGCTGCCATACCATGGCTGAAGTAGGCACATTGATATAACGCAGTGCCTGAAAATACATCTATATAACAAGCACAACCACCTACTTCCAAGGGAACATGCCTTGCAACATGGAGACATTCATGAGAGACAATTCTGAATATTTATATATTTTTGGTGCACAATGTATCGTCTCAGCATCAATATCACAATGTAATCATTTGCTATAATCACATTGTGTGTATACGCAATGTTGAGTTTGGATTATATTATTGGCCTGTGACTGTGTGAAGGGTTTAAATGAGAAATTGTTCTTTTTAACAACATAGGCATTCTGAAAACTGATTCCTACATTCATTTTTGGAGACCGCAAATTATGTAGCCAGAGGTACATATAGCTGCATTTAATTTTTTAAACAAACGCTACGGGGCAGTATAACGCTATTCCTTTTCGTGCTTACTAGCTGACCGATTACCTCAGTATGGACAGCTTTCCTTCTGTAACCAGTTTGTCCCATTAGCTCGCCATGTATGTTGGTGGACTTGACACGCAGAAAGTTTGAGACTGCCGAAGAACAGTTCCAGAAAGCAGGCAAGACAAAAGCAGAATCCAAAAGATGAAATAAACAAGTAAATAACAGGGTGAGAATGTGGCAAAATTTGAAAATGTGGTAAAAACCACACAAGGGCTTTTCTTTTTCTGGATTGCTTTTAAAAATTGTTGGTTGGGTTTAGGGAAGTTGGTGGGCAAGTCAATCAATAAAATTGGTTGGGTTTAGGGAAGGAGAAGGGTGGGTCAGTCTGTCAGTCATTCAAACAGTTTGTCAACAGCTGCCCATGATGGGTTCATGTGAGAACAGCAGGCGCGAATGGCACTCGGGGAAGAAATTTGAGATACATAAACAGCGGCCTCTCGTGGATTTGAGAAAACAAAAACTGCAAAAAAATTAAATAAAACATACCTCCTGGGATGTATTTCATGGCCATGGAGGTACGTTTTCAGAAAGAGCCTGGGTTGGTTTTAAATTTAATAATGATTGATTAGATAGAATTGTTTATAAAACTAAGACTATGCAGGGGTATTTTACATTTACAGTATACCTGAATGCAGTTTGACTCCTCTGGAAAATAATAAAATGCTGTTCATTTAATTTCTTCATTGAATTTAGCTATGCTTGTGGATTGTTTATATTTTATGCATTCCTATACAGAATCATCCCAATCAATCTAAAATATAACATTTCTAATAACTAATCCAAATACTTATTCAACTCATCTAGTGAAATTGTATTAATATTGCAATACATATCGCTGAATCAAAAAATATCACAATGATAGATTTTTCCAATATCATACAGCCCTAGTGCAGATCCTGAACCTTATCTATTTCAACCAAAATACAAGGAAGTTAGATGATTTTAACTTTGTTTTTAAAACTCCAAAGGAATTAATCTCTTCAAAGAGTGCCTTTAAAAAGGGAATTAAAACTTTTAAAAGCTATTAAAGACCCCTTAGAGTCAAAGACTTTCATCTAATGCATGTACACACAACGTATTGCTTGTGAATGGACCATAAGACAAGCTAGCCATATGAATAGATGGACGGGAAGTGTGATAATGAGAGAACATCTCACAAATTGATCATAAGCTTGGGAGGTGAGCCAGAAATGTCCAACTGTGCCCATCGGACGCAGCAGAGTAGAAAGGCAAAAGAAAGATGAGTTTTGAAAGACAGGCTGTGAATCATTACGATGCTACTCTCTAGAACCCTCCATGGATATCCCCGACCCCAGTCTTAATGGCTGGTTGTCATTTTTATGTGTAGCCTCTATTTTCCCACATCTTCCCATATGTGCAAGTACCCCACCTCTCTTTAGTTCCTAAGAGGAAAATGGAGAGTTAAATAAAGGGACACATGAGAGAGAGAGTGTGCGTGCCATCTTAAAATGCTAAAGGCGTGTCTATTGTGTGAATGTGACCCATTGCTCAGAGGCATCATGGATGATGAGTAGATTCATCTCTCGCAGCTTAGAGCAGTGACAGATTATGGGCTGGATTTGAGAGACAGAATGGAAAAAAGGAGTCGAGTGAGAAAAAGCTAGGAGAGAATTTCAGGTGTGACACGACGACAAAGCAGACGAGAAAATACTATCCTCATGACTTGCACTTTTCGCTGTTTGAGACCGATGTGTCTCCGAGAGCTTTGGTTAAGCTAGATGAAAGCACACACTTGTTATTTCTCAGCAAGGAGCTTTGATTTGAAAGCGGTGTCGATAATAGCTTGGCTGTGATGTTGCTAAATGAAGAAATTTAAAGTGACTGCCCTCATAGTTCACAGTTCTTCGTGTTAAGTCACAATAGCAAGATTTAACTCATCACTGTTTTGTTATGGTCATGTCTCGTTTTCAGTAAACACAAGCACACACAGTCCTCCACACTAGTCTGCCCATTTCATGCTGAACCATTTCATTGTGGATAGCTGAAAATGGTTGTGCAGGCGGCGCTCTGTCACTGCGTGTGGGGGTGTGTGTGTTATGAACATGTTTGGCCACCAGGGGTACACACATTTTTAGTGTATGACTTATAAAAGTGCTCCCACTGCTCTGAAAAGGATAAGCACAGTGCTTATCTCTGCTGGACGGATGGTCTGTCCGTTTCTGTATCTTTTTCTCTCTCTTGCTCTTGTTCTCCTAATGTTGCCAATGCAAGCTCGTGGCCCCATCCACAGCTCTCCAGAGCTCATGAAATATTCATGTTTTAATTAAGCAGTTTTACTGCCTCTATGCTTGATAATAAAAAGTGCCCCAGGTTTGGTGTGCATTAGGGTGTGTATGTGTGTTTTAAGAACCTATGTTAGCCGTGAGACTGTGACTAGCCTATTGTAAACACTTTCAGGGGATGGGGGGGTGGAGGGATTTGTCAGACATCTGTCTTGCTGTAGGGGTTCATCGTTATTTCATGCACACTTTCACCAGGGATTTTTGAGGGTGTTTGTTTCAAGAGAGCATTACATTGTTGTTTAGGAGAATATATAGTTGTTTTTTTATTGTTTACTTTATGACTGAAGCTGTTTCAGCAATATCATCTCTATTTACAATGACCCTGCCTTCTGTTTGTTAAAGTTATAATACTGTCTCTCTACTGTAAATCTGCACCAGGGAAATGCTTAATGGCAATGAAGAAATGACTGATTTGCAATGAGAAAGATCGTTGATAAAAAAAAAATAGCAAAACAAAGTAGAATATCCTCACTAAATTATGTCACTGAAAGGAACAATTCAACCCCCCTGCCTCCCTAAGAGCTGTTAATTTTTGACATGACATGTCATCATGACTCATGTATCGTTCTTATCTCAGTAGTTTACAAAACTGCATGGGACAGGATCTTTCAAAATGAAAAAAGGATGTAAATAAAGTATATCATAAAAGCAGTCTATTTAAACAAAATTCCAAATCTTTTGAAACCATCCAACAGCTACATTGCATTGGCAGATTGAGTGTGAGCGTTCGCGAAAGTGATTTCTTCCCTCTTTGGGATGGAACCACGAGGCGACGTTCATTCATATAACTTAAATGTTTAATTACAGACAACCTAAATGTTTAAGTACAGATAAAATGAATGTTTAAGTACAGATAAAATGAATGTTTAAGTACAGATAAATTTAATGTTTAGTTACAGATAACTTAAATGTTAAAGTACAGATAAGTTGATATTTAGCCGCACCATGTTGGTGTTTGTAACATCACATTTTTACGAGGTGGGTAGTTAGCCCAACGCTCAACCTGGAGGACCAGGACATACACCTCGGACAATTTAGCTCACCTATAGCACATGAGTTTGGACTGTGGGGGAAAACGGAGCACCCTGAGGAAACCCACGCCAACACGGAGAAAACATGCAAACTCCACACAGAAATGCCAACTGACCCAGCCAGGACTCAAACCAGTAACCTTCTGGCTGTGAGGAGACAGTGCTATCCACTGAGCCACAGAGTGACCAAGTCACAGAGTCTGTGTGTATA